GTAGTGATGAAAGTTTTCAATATTTGGCCCAGTATAGTTATTTGTGTTTGTTTTTTTAATAAAGTTTATATTACATATAGAAAACATATGCCCAAAAAGCGAGTATCGTTTACATTTTGTTTGACAAATTTTTAATTTTTGTTTGTGTGAATATGTTTATAAAATGTGTTCCAAAGATTAATTTTTAACGAAAATAAAATATTTTCAATAACAAGTTAACAAGTTTTCAATATTTAGTCATTATTAGCTCAGAATAAACTAAATAAAATTCTGGTATTGGTATTTGTATTGTTTAAGGGAATATAGATTGTTGCAAAGGGAAAGAGGTATGAGGTATATATTGTTCGTGAAAAAACATAAAGTTGAAAAGTGTCATTATTTTTTCAGAGTAATTGTTATTTATATTATTGTTATTATTATTTGTTTGTGCATATATGTTAAAGGGCGACCTAAAGATTTTTTTACTAAAAATAAAGTGCTAGAAGTTTTTAATATTTAGTTAATTTAATTTTTGGTGTTTTTATTTTTAAAAGCAATTTGGATTGTTACAAAAGGGGTGAGGTGTAAGAAATTTAGATTACAGATACAAAACATATGCCCAAAAAGCGATTATCTTTAACATTTTGTTTGAGAAATGCTTAATAATAATGTTTGTTTTTTGTTTGTGCGAATATGTTTATAAATATGTTCCAAAGATTAATTTTTAGTACAAATATAGTGATGGAAGTTTTTAATATTTAGCCAATATTTGGCTCAATGTAATTATTGGCGTTTGTATTTCTAGCTTAGGGGGTGAAGTGTGAGGTTTATATTATAAGTAAAAAAAGTCATGAAGCTAAAATAGAAAAGCGATTATCAATTTTTTTTGGGGAATTTTAATTTTTATTATAAGTGTGATCTAAAGATTTTTTAGTAAAAATATAGTGACGAAAGTTTTCAATATTTGGCCCAGTATAGTTATTGGTATTTGTTTTTTTTAATAAAGTTTATATTACATATAGAAAACACATGCCCAAAAAGCGATTATCGTTTACATTTTGTTTGAGAAGTTTTAATAATTAATATTATTGTATCCTCTAAAAATTGATTTTTGGTAATAAAATAGTGATGGAAGTTCTTAATATTTAGTCATTATTTGGCCCATCATAGTTATTGGTGTTTGTTTTTTTTTTAAAGAAATTCGGATTGTTTCAAAAATGGTGGTTTAAAGTTTATATTACATATATAAATCATATGCCCAAAAAGCGATTATCGTTTACATTTTGTTTGAGGATTTTTTTAATAATAATTGAGAATTTTTGGTTTGTGCAAATAAATTTATAAGTGTAATAGTTAATAGTGTTTAAATTCTTAAATTGATGATTCTTGAATTATAAAGAGGGTGGTAAGAGGTTTATTTTATACGTGATGTCATACGTGAGCTTATATAGTTCATAATTTCATAGTTTTCATAATATTGTTTGAGGATTTTTTTAATGGTGAATTTAAGTATATATATATATATACATATATATATATCAGATTTGTGTCACGATGTTTGTTACCAATAGACTCCTAAACTACTGAACCGATTTTAATTTTTATTTGTTCAACATGTGCATTTATATTCGATTTAGGTGATAGGCTATTATATATGCATATATTCAAAGAAGTTTATACTTTTATTTATATGCAAATTTTATATGATGGTAAAATTGCTGAAATAGGTTCTTACAATTTTTACAATTTAAGAATATATTTCTATATATTTTACTTTATTTGTTTAAGGTTTAAGTTAGATCGATTATTATTATCAACATTCTATTTGGAAAAAATGGCTAGTTTTTAGGAAAAACGGTATAGTATGAAGTCTAAAATATTCGTAATATTAATGGACTTAAATTTTTCATTTTAAAGGCGAAAAAAAAACACTAACTGCTAGAACTACGAAATGACGATAAAAATGATAAATTTTTCATATTTTTTAAAAAATATTTAGAATTTATTCAAATCCAATCTCTAATACGTTTATAGATATATTCTCAAATAAATTTTGGTTCCTTTTCTATGAATAATAATAAAGAAACTTTGTCATATTTTGCCAATAATTCATGTACTAAATTGTATCAACAATATTCCCACATCAAATAAATTATTAACATTGAAGTACATTTATAAATTATATATATATATATATATATATATATATATATTAATTTTATATATTTAATATATACACTTTTATATATCGCACATATATTTATATATTATCAAAAGAGTAAAAATTCTCAATAAATAGAATTTATTTGTTTAATATTACAATACTTACATAAATTATTGCATTGTTGTTGTTGAAATTTACATAAATTGTTTCAAAACATCAAGAACTATTTATTTACATACTAAAATAGAAAACTGCTATAAATTAACTAAATATTACTTTAATTTAAATAATTAAAATATTAAATTTATACTTTAATTTAAATAAATTAAATTATTTAAATTCAAACAATTAATTAAATTTATTTAAATTATTGAAAATTTGATTTAAAGCTAAAATTCTAGGCAAATTTGAATTTATAATTTAATAACAAAAGTGGTAAATACCGTAATATAACAATATAAATAATATATGAATTGGGACTAAATTTTATTATTATGTTTAATTTTTATAAATTATCCTGAACAGTATGACATAGAGTTTTCAAATATTTTGACATATTTTCGAAATTCAATAAATAACGAAATGTTTTAAGCATAATTGTTTAATAAACAATTAAAGATACAGTTTTATAAATTATTTGGCTTCATTCAAAATACAAATTTGAAAGTTTGAAAGAAGCAATTTTAAAATTGATAAATAATTATAGACAAAGTCTTCAAGTAATTTAGTTTAATTTTATACATATATACGTATAAATATTAAATGATAGACACAAGTAAAGATATTGTATAAATTCATTTCAGTCTTCAATCGTAATGATTATTCTGCACTTCACTGAATATTATTAGTTTTGTGATTATTTACATTCATATCTCGTAAACTGCGTATTAGTTTATTTTTAGTTATATTAAATATATATATATATATATATAATATATATATATATATGTGTGTATCATATCATAATCAACACTTATCTACTATAAGGCTACCATTTATATTTAATTTTATTCACATTCAATAATTCAATGAACATTTCTGTTTCGACGAAATACATTACATAAAATAGATTAAAATTTTTGATATTCAATCGAGATATTTATATTTAATCCTTTAATTTAACTATATTAAAATACTTATATATCTTACAAATATTTAGATAAATAACTAACTCAACTCAGATATAGAAAAAAACATTAATTCATATATAACTTTTGTACATACGAATTTTATTTAAAAAACAACACATGTAGAGTACGGTTTTAAATATATAAACTTAAATTGCATCGTGCCTTAAGGTAAATTGCTGCAACTTTTTGTATCGAAAATTATAATTTAGACATCCTAAGTAATACCAAAAATTTGCTGATGTTCAATTATAAAATAAGCACATATTTAAAAAAAATATTAGACTATATTCAGATCTATCACCAACTTTTGCTTTACCAAATAAGTAAATTCTGTATCCTTTATCCTAGTTGCAGCAACAGTCTGCTCAGCAACAGCAACAGTTGTCCTGCGATGTCCAGCAACTTCAAAATGAGATCTCGGAATTGAGACGAATTTTGCAAGTTCGAGACCGTCGGATAGAGACCCTGGAAAGTGCCTGTCTCAGGGAGACTGATCGCATTGCAGAACTTCAGACAACTTTGGGAGTCTGGCAGGAGAAATATGATAGGTAATAATAATTGAAAAAAGATTTATATCATAGGTTCTCAAACTATTTTGTATATGCGTCACGTAGAAATACAATTTATTAAATTGCTTCTTTGATAACTCAGGTTGTTGGGTTAAAATTTAACCCTTGTAGCTGTGGACTGTATGAAACACTGATTTGTTGGTATAATTTTTAGTTCTCATTACACTAATGATTTGTCATTTAATTCTAATTGAAAAAGATATATTTATTGATTATTTATTACATGTGATTTTACGTGGACTTTAGTTTTAAAAGTGAGAAAAATAAGTCTGATCCAAATCATCTACCCCTTCTACATTGTAGCAACTTTCCGGTGTATAAACCCAATCCATGAAGATTGCCGCCTTCATGGCCAATATAATAAAATGAAAATACGTCCGAATATATTTTGTGTCGTGGACTCCTTAGACTTTTCCTTGTACCCCTTATTTACCCGTAATTGATTTATAGAAATACAAATTTTTTTATACTTTCTAGTTTTTTTCATTTATTATCTCAATATTTTTTTACCACTACTGAAGACCGCATTTTTATTTAGTTATCATCTAGAATATAATTTTGCAAAATTTAACATAAAACATTTTCATCAACGATAATATTAATAATAAACTAGTGGGGTGTATGGCATCGTGCCTTAAGGCAAATTGCTGGTACTTCCCTTACCATAACAAAATGATCGAGGAATATTAAATGTTTTTGTATAGATTATAATAAATATTGTAACATTGTCTAATATTTATAAGAATTATATAAACTGAATTGCAAAGTTGAAATTGTTTGTTCAAAGTATATTAGAACTTTAGTCAGAATATAATAAAATCTGTATTATTTTCGATATACTAAATAAAAATTAATTGAAAAAAAAAATGAAACAATTTTTTTCCCAAAATCAATTATTTTAAATCATTTAAATCGAACGCTTAGTTCTCTCAAAAATTGCCATTTTTAGCACATTTAGCTCTGTATCTTTGAAATGGCTGGGCCTGTCTATGCCAAAAACTAATAACTACTTCTCCCAAATATTACTAATTGAATGTTTTTTAGATCATTCAAATCGGATGCTCCGTCCTCTCAAAAACTCGATTTATATTTTCTGCACTCTTTGCTCTTTATCTCCGTAACTGCTGGACTTGCCTTTGCCAAAAACTAACCAGCACATCGCTCTATCAATATGAATCGAATGTTTATTGAACCATTCAAATCGGTTGATCCGTGCGCCCGAAAACGTGACCGAAAAATTGTATCCATACATACACACATACATCCATTTTTTTTTGAGGTATGCCAAAATGTTCAGAAACCTTCAAAACGTAGAGAAATGCAAAAATTTTCAATTTCGATTTTTGGACTATTACAATAACTTTCCCTACGGGAAGTTAATATCAATTAAATTAATAACATCTTTACTATGAAGATAATTTCAAATCAATTAAACATTGGGCGTACCTCAAGGATCGATATCAGGATCCACATCAAATCACAGACGCTTTATATATCTATTATTAACATACTAATTTAAAATTCAACTCTCAATTATTTTTTATATTATAAATTCTGATTTTAAATCTGTTACAAATTATTTCTTTGTAGCAAGTTTGAACTTTTAGATTCAAGTAAGTTTGAACCTCTAAGATTTTTTTTTCGCCTCATAGAAAGTTGTCATGGACCCCTGGAGAATTTACTGATTCATATTAACAATTAGCATATCGATTGATAAATATGAATAATTGAAACTGAATTGAATTGAAACAATTGGTTGTTTGATTTGGTCTCTTGTCTCAATAGCCCCAGATTAACAATGGACAAGAATTTGTTCTCAATTTACACAAACGTATTGTTTTCGAAATTGTGAAGCAAAAGTATTTGATTTCATTTGGTATATTCAGTTTCCAGACATTTGATCACTTTGGAATTTTTCTTAGAGAATGAGTAGGCAATTGAACAATTGATAAAAACAATTTATGTTCAATTTCTGCAATCTAAATAATTTTTATACTAATTTTTTTTATTACTTGTTGCATTACCTTAAAATGTCCTATAAAATATCTTGAAATGCATTATGTGTGAAAAAAAACCTGAATTTTCGTTTATCTGTTTCCAGACTATTTCATCACTTTGGTATAAAATTCATTTAATTTGTCTCAAAAATAACAATGGAATAAATTTTGTTTTCAACTTTTACAACTGCAATAAGTTATTTAAATAGCGAAACAATTGAATATAATCTTGTTTAGAAAAATAAATATTTCAAGATCATTTTGGTACATCTGAGAAATAATGAATATTTATATTTGCATACATGCAAGAATGCAAATAAGTGTACATCTGTTTTGTATTATTCAGAAACATTATTATATATGTGTTCTGTTTTCTTTTATTTAAAAAATGGTAATAATAGATAATTTGTCTAGAATTTTTAGTTTTCAGTTCAGCCAATATAAAGTTGCATTTTTGAGTCAAAAATGGAAAACAATATTTTCTTAGCCAAAGATGAGTATTTATATTGCATATCAAAATATCGGATATTATCCAAATATTTGATTCATAAAAATTTGACACAACGTGTTAAGTTTATATTTTTTATTGTAAATTATAAATAGTAAAACAATAATTTTATTATTATTTTTAGAATACTACAGTAATTGTTAAAAGGCTGAAATATCTGTTTTATGCAAAAATTAGAATTTTCAATACTGTTAGAAGTGTTCATATATAGTTCTCTCTAAAAAAATATTTACTGTTTATATTATTATCTCTTATTCAATTTAAATTTCTTCATTTACTACTTATTTAAGAAACAATGTGGAAAATTTTTAAATTGATATACTTATGTCAAAATTCAATTATTAAATTAAAAAAAAACTAGTTAATATAATATACGTTTAAAAAAATATTGTTCAAAATATTCCATTTCTTTATTTTTAATCTATTTTTATTTACTTATTTATTATTATTATTATTATTTTTATTATTTTGATATTATTATTATTATTTGCAATTTAGCCATATAACTCATAGAGTATGTAAATAACTCTGAATGAACAAAAATATTCCCTATTACAATTATATTAATTATAATTGAAACTATTTATTGTTATTAAATATATAACTTTTTTCAGTTTTTTTTTCAATTAAAATTAAATTAAAAGTAAATTTGTTTTTAAAGAAATCTTTACGCAATAATTTTTATAATTAATTGTACGTGTACTTCACATATTATCATTATATAAACAAAAATTATAATTTTTTTAACTTTCTTATTATTTAACAAATTTTTATTCAAATAATAATATATATTAATGCGTCATCTATACAAGTGATATCTAAACTCTAAATCGATCTATTATAAATTAATTATATATACTGATAATTATTTTATCTAAAAGTGACATATTTATAGTCTAATCTCGAGTACTAAAACTTCTGTCTGATATTGATATTTAATTAACAAAAATTTTACTTCGACACTGAGGGTTCTGTAAAACATAGGTAATAGATACATATTTTATAATATTAAATGATTGAGTAAGTTGACACTAATATTTTCAATAGCAATAATATATTTATGTTTTCTATTTATATTATCTATTTACTTAATTTGTAAAATAAAATTTGAATAGCAAATTGTATAAAATCAAAGAACGTAGTAGGAGGTACTGAAGACAAATATGTAATTCATTATAATTTTGTTTTGTCTATTATAACTTCATAAGCATATATATATATATATATATATATATATATATATATCAGTGGCGGATCCAGGGGGGGGGTCACGGGGGTCATGACCCCCCCCTGAGCCTGTTTTAGGACTTTGATAAAACACTAATTCAACAACAAAATTACTTCATGATGATTTTATTTATGTATTTTGTTACCAAACACATTTTATAACTTGAATGTTTAACTGATTGTAGACGAATGACGGATTCAAAAACCCTAAAATTTAAGGATTTTCTAATCGTATTGCGAATATATGTTTACAGTTCTGGAACAAAATTTCATTCAAAAATCAAAAAATTAAACTGATTGTGAGTGGTCCTTATGCATGAACTTTCAGTAATTTTAACATCTGTAAATAGACGACTTAATCAATATATAAACTAGTGGGGTGTATGGAATCGTGCCTTAAGGCAAATTGCTGGAACTTCTTGTACCTTAACGAAATGTTCGAGAAATATTAAATGTTTTCAAATAGATTATTATAAATATTGTAACAATGTCTGATATTTATAAGAATTATTTAAACTGAATTGCAAAGTTAAAACTATTTATTTGAAGTATATAAGTTTTAAACTTTAGTCAGAATGAATATTAAAATCTGAATTATTTTCCATATACAAAAAAAAGTTTAGAAAAAAAAATAAGCCAAATTTTTTTCAAAAGCAACTATTTTGTCAAAACAAGCAAAAAGTTCTTTGGAGAAAGTATGTATGTGTGTGTGTGAACAGATTTTTTGCTGAAAATCGGCATTTTCTCAAAAACGGCTGGACCGATTTCAAAAATTTAAAAGCCATTCGATGTATCGCGATGAGGACTAGCGTTTATCAATTTTGCGCGACGACCGGCCAAGTCGTTTCTTTGTAAATAGCAGAAAAGTGAAAAAAATTTCGTCCACGTTTTAGCCCGCAGTTCTGAATCGATTTTGAAAATTCAAAAACCGTTCGAAAGGTTGGGAATATTGGATCGGCCTGGCCGTTTTCTTGTAATGAAGTGTTGAAAAAATTTGTTGCGGGTAGATACCATAGTCTTTTAGAGCAATACGGCCACACGACAACTCGTTTAGCTTTAAAAATTTGTCAAAGTTTGCAAAGATTAGTATCGTTTTTTTAGCATTTGTCCAAATTAGACCTCATCGGCGATTGCTCAAATACGTCTGAACCGATTTCAGAAATTTAAAAACCATTTGATGTGTCTAAATGAGGATTATCGCTTGTCAGTTTTGTGCGACAATCGGCCGAGCCGTTTTTTTCGAAATTTGGAAAAAAAAATTAAACTTTTCGTCCACATTTAAGCAGAAATTACCGAATCGATTTTAAAAAATCAAAAACTGTTAGAAAGATATTAGTTGGGAATGAAACTGATTAGTTTTAGGTGAAAATCTGCCTAGCGTTTTCTTGTATTTCGTCGTTGAAAAAAATATTTGAGCCGATTTTCATGAAACTTTTTTCCATGATATATATATATATATATATATATATATATATATATATATATCATGATCTTGTACAACTTATTGAAATATTACGGCCTTACGATGTGTAGTTTAATTTTGAGAATTCATCAAAGTTTGAGAAAATGAGTAGTTTTTTTGACGTTTGTTAAAATTAAAAGTAAACGATTTACTTGGTTTATCGATAGAGTACTTGGTCTTAATGAACATACTAAACCATTAAAATCCTACGGCAACTGGTTCAATTATAAAAATTATTGAATTTTGAAAATTTGCCTTTAGAAAATACTCCGAGTTAACGTCTTCGTTTTCAATTATGTGTGATATTGTAAATCCACTGGGAATACCTTGAATCCCTCATAAATTAATTTATTTTTTACTGATTAAGTCGATTATTAACACATTTCGGGAAGTTCATGTAACTTGCCTAAAGGCAAAATACCAATACAAACTAGTTAAAAAATAGTTTGAATATTACACATTGATGGAAAACGAACACATACGAAATACAAAGCCGAATACATACACACGGTTAATTTTTTAAAAGCGCGGCCAAATAATCCAAACTTTAATTATCATAAGTCGCTAACGAAAAACCATAACAACCATAAGACACATTAAATAAAAACATCTGACTATGTTTTAGTCCCAACTTCCAGCTAATTCATCACTGTAAAAATGTGTTTTTTTCTGTTTTTTAAAAATTTGTCACTTGGTCTTTTTTACCCCATAGACGGGGTAAAATCGGACGGCGAGAGGACAAACAATCCAATTTACTATTTTTAATTTTAAAGGGATTTAACGAAGTAATAGCTACATTATTCAACCAATAAAAAATATGAATTTTATAGAAACATTTTTTACAGAGATAACTCTGTATATAATCTTGATTTGATATTTTGTCCAAAATATTCACCAGCAGAGTTGAAATAAAGATTTATTAAATTTATCTTTTGTAAAAATGCTTTTTTTACGTCGTAGGAATCAGTGTGATGGCTGGTTGTACATTTTTCCCTCTACTTTCAAATATTGTTGTTAAGAAATCCTTAACTTTACTTCTTTTTGAGATATCGGTGGTGGACTTTTTACCCGCAAATCTTGAGCCCCGCACTATCTTATATATATATATTATATTATATATATATATGTATATATATTTGTTATATACTCATTGAGGACTATAAAAACTTTTCAATTATGACCCCCCCCTGACGCCGAAGCTGGATCCGCCACTGATATATATATATATATATATATATATATAAAGCGAGAGGTTTTTCTTCAGATAGTGGAATAATATGATAAAATTGTTTCAATGTTTTTATTCAGAGAACATACGTCTCGGGTCTTGATTTGACCCATCTTCAGTGCTACAATTAAATATTTCAGGGTTACAATTTAAAACAATATAAAAAATACATAACTACAGGCAGAAATAAATAAAACCTAAATTTCAAATTTGTTTGTATGATGAGTTTCTTTACATTTGTTTATTTTATGGTTGTTTTTCATATATACTTTTCATATATTCTTTCACAATATATCTGTTTTTAAAACTAATTTATTAAATTGGTTATATTTGTTTATTTTACATATAATATATATATATATATATATATATATATATTAATTACAACATTTGTTACAACTGTTAAATGATTTAACGTCTAGTAACAATAATGAACAATAACATAAATTTGAATAGAAAATAATACAAAATAAAGGATAGTACTTTCATAAGCAATATATAAAAATAATAAATATGCTAATTCAAAAATATATCTTTAAATTAAAATTTAATATTAGTCAATTTTGAACGTACTAAAATTTTTTTAACTTCCCGAAAGAGAAGTTTGTTTTCATCAAAAACTGCGATTCGCTAATTTTATGTTTTCTCGACGTTTCAAGCCATTCTGAATCGAATGAGCCCAAATTTGGAAAACGTTTGTGTGTGTGTGTATATATATACACGTATGTGAACAGATTTTTTAATTAGTTTGATTAGAACTAAAAATCTCCAGAGAGAATCAAAATCAATCTCACTATAAAATTATAAGTTAGGTAATGATTGGTCAATTTAACACCTATTGTTTCATTATATAATTATAGGTTTATTAATGACTATTTTATTGCGCATTTAATTGATGTTTTTATTATCTTTTAGATTATACGATTCGCACGTGCGTGTCCAGAAATTAAACCAGGGTTTAGAAGACAAATTATTAAGGCTGGTCGACCGAGGTGCAGGCGAAAGGGCCCAATTGACCAGCGACGTGGCCACTTTGTCGGTCAGGTTGGCCCAGGCCAATTATACCGTCACCAATTTACAAAGAGAAGTAGTAAGTAGTTGAAGAAAATATTTATTAACTTCCCGAATGAGAAGCATAAATTTATCAGATTTGATAATTTTATATTTCCTCGACGTTGTAAGCCATTCTTAATCGAATGAGACCAAGTTTGAAAAAAGTATGTGTGTGCGTGAGCCAATAATTCAAATTTCTATTCTCTCAAAAATGGGTGAACAGATTTTACAACTGTATAAAGCCGTTGGATTGAACTTGATAAGAAAGATTAGGTTTGAGAGAAGTTTGCCCAAGCCATTTTTTAGGAATTACAAAAGAGTACTTTTCGGTAACAGTTCTCACAAAAATCTTGCTGTTTCAAATTTATGGATTTGTGTATAGTTTGCATAAATTAATTTATAATTATCTAAATAGATTCTTTATATCTGTATCACCAAATAAGCAGCATACAAAACATCTTTAGTTGTATAAAAAATGTTAACATTAATTCAAATTATTAAATAATATCAAGCACACATCGTACATGATATATGTAATCGTGCCAGAATTTTTTTATAGCATGTGCTTCTTATTTCAAAAAATATTTTATTAAGTTTCTTAAAAAATTTCGACTTTCTTCATGAAATTTAACAATACACAAAAGTTCATGCAATGAACACTTCTACGAAAATTGGTTGAATTATATAAGTTAAATAAAATTTGGAGTAACAGGCTTCAATTTTAGGACGTAAAATCACTTTTTTATGCACTATAACAAATCATTTTAATGTGTTTGAGAGATCTTAATTGGAAATGGCAATGTTTGGTTTTTAGTGAAAGCCAAAACTTTGTTTTCAAAGTGGTTAAAATTTTAGGGATTTTGATTGGATTTTTTTTTACTATGTTAATTGAAAATTCGTTGAATCAAATTCATGAAGTGTAGTAATTTTGATAAAATTATTATTGATCATTTATAATAATAAATAGTGATAATCTATAATATAGATGAATAAATTAATTTGCAATAAGAAAATAACTTCAATCTGAATTGTAGTTAACTTTGATCAGAAATTACATCTGATGCGTATATGAATTTAGTTTCATTTGCATTTGAAATATACTCCTGAATAGCAAGTGAACATGAAATTTATTTATACTGATTGAACTGAAAAGTTCATGTTTTATTCATGAAAATATTCAGAAGCAATACTGTAAGTTATTCATTAATTTCAATAAACTAATTCTCAACTCTATATCATCAGTATCATAACTAATCATAACTATTTATTATTACATTGACTAATTTTATTTTATTTATTTCAGGAACGTTATAAAAGTGACATGAGTCTTGCAATTCAACTTATACAATGCAAACCAGATAACTTTGTTCCACAAAAATTAAATTCTGTAAGTGAAAAAAAATAGTATAAATAGGTTGTCAAATATCTCCCTTCCGCTTTTTTGCTCTTGGTTTATAATACAAAAAGGCGGAAGATATTTGACAACCTTATATGTAGCAAATATCATTGTCAATGCCAATTTGATTAAGTCAAGTAAATTATGTTTCAGTTATAATTTTTACTTTCTGTAGCAAGTTATAGTAATCGGAAAAAAATCGAAAATTATAGGTTTTATATATCTATACGTTTCAGTGGTTTCTGAACATTTTGGCATACCTTAGAAAAAATGAATGAATGTGTGTGCGTGTGTATGCGGACACAAATTTTCGTCGACGATTTCGGGAACACCGATTAACCGATTTAAATAATTCAAATAAACATTCGATTTGTATTGATAAGGAGACGTACTGATTAGTTTTTGGCAAAGGCAGGTCTTGCCATTCCGAAGATACGGGGCAAAAAGTGCCAAAAACGGTAACTCAGTTTTTAAGAGAACGGAGCGTCCGATTTGAATAATTCAAATTCAACATTTTACTTGTATTGACAAGATGAAGAACTGATTAAATTTTTGGGATGGCAGGTCCAGCGGTTATGGACTTTCAATAAAAATAATTTAAAAAAATGTCATTTGGCGATCAAAAATGTTTATTTGACACAAATACATCAAATTATCAGACACTTAATAGAGATTATAATAATATATACACTTTTTGTGTAAATTTTTTTGGGTTCCGTACCATGATTTTCAGTTACGCTACGGGAAGTTCTAGCAATTTGCCTTAACGCACGATGCTATGCACCCCACTATATTTGAATGCAATTTCTTTTGGAAATATATATTTTAATGTAATTATATAAATGTACGACCCTTCAACTCAACCATACGTTTATTTGGAATCTTACATACAGTCTTTCAAGTAGATAACTAAAAACAAATATTTGGCTTTAGTAGAAAAAAATCTATATAGAGCTAAAAAAATATTTGAGTCGATTTAATAAGTATATATTAAATGTCTATGTGGATATCATCCAAAATAGCAGTACTAGACAACATGCTAAAATTTACGTTCATCTAATACAACAATGGCTTTTCTGCTTGATAATCCGCCTATAAGAGGACTACAGAAGAAACTGCCAAATTGCAAAAAAAGTTGCTCAATAGAGCAATTACTACAAATTGTTTATTTTATTTATGTTTATTTAATTTTTTATTCTTTATTTGTAATTCATTTTATTTATTTATTTGTTATTTTTATATATCATTATTATTATTTTTTATTTCTTTCTGTGATTATTATTATTTTTATTATTATTATTATTATGTGTAATTTAGCCATATAACTCATAAGGTCTGTAAACTACTCTGATCATTATATAATATGAAAATAATAAAAAAATGTCTATGCATTTTTTTCCCTAGTTGCCATTAGACGTCCAATCCAAAGTGGCGGCCTACATGCGCCTCGATGCCGAATCGGCTACTCCGCCCGGCAGCTCGGCTTCGTCGCCCCGAAGGCCGCGCAGCGACTACCGCATGCTGCCCGGAGGAACTCCTCCGAGGGACAACAGCCCTTCGCCGGCGAGCGGAACGGGGCCTAACACCTGCCCCTTTCCGCCGACCGCCATGGTCTACGGGATGAGGGGATACGGTTAGTAGTAGTTACATTGGTAATCGTAAGGTTTTTCTTTTTTCTGTGTATAGCGAAGGAAATGCCTTTTTACTACCCAGGCTAGGTCTTTTGTCTGGGTATGCCGGACTGAATACCGCATGGGGGTAATACCGACTAATATCTCCGCTTTGATTTTTGCCTCCCACGGAAACCGTCGTTGGGCATTACTTCGTGGGGGGAGGATCTAGAATGTTATACTTCTTAACTTTATTCTAAATTAGTAATTGTAAGGTGTAAGTGGCATTTTGCCTTGAGGCAAGAGAACAATATTGCCGTTTTCTTGTAATTAACTGTTGAAACAAAAATTTAAGCCGATTTTTATAGAACTCTTTTTGACGATATATCATGGTCTTATAGAACTTACTGAAATATTACGGCCTTACGACAAGTAGTTTAATTCTAAAAATTCATCAAAGTTTGAGAAAATGAGTAGTTTCTTTGACGTTTGTTAAAATTAAAATTAGACGATTTGGTATAACGATAGAGTTCTTGGTCTTAATGAACATACTAAACCATTAAAGTCCTACGGAAACTGGTTCAATTATAAAAATTATTGATTTTTGAAAATTAGCTCTTAGAAAATACTCCGAGTTAACGTGTTCGTTCGTTAATACACTCGAAATACTTTTAATCACTCATAAATTAATTAATTTTTTATTAATTAAGTCGATTATTTACACATATCGGGAAGTTCATGTTACTTGCCTCAAGGCTAGATACCAATACCAACTAGTTTAATTTCAAATCAACAACATATATTTTTTCATAAATTCTACGTCAATGACAGTATTCGATCCAAAGATTCATGTCATGTGGGTCCAACACGCTACTAAAAGGCTAATCATAATAAAATAAATAAAAACTGACTAAAAATTGTTCGTATTTTTGCAATATATAGAGTATACTATATTTTTATTTAGAAATGCTTGGATTGAATATAATGAATGACTTTATTTGCTAAGTAAGGTATATCCTAAACAATTTCTAGAGAATCAAAAAAATTAATACTAGAAGTGTATAAGGATGTGTTGATTGAATACTATAGACACCATTAGTTTGTCTATATTTTGTCAATAAAATCAAACTGGAAGTTTTATACACTTTCTATAGAAAACATGGTGGTATAATCCAATCCAAGTCTTTTTTGATCTTTCGACTTATTACTTTCGATTTCGTTTCATGTTTTTCAGATTCTTTTTGGATTCTGGATGTTGTGTATAATTGTAAATGATACTACTGAGCTTATACAAAATTTTCAATTTTCTGCGAGGACAGATAAAAAATAAATTAAGTATTTCTTCTTTGACCTGTCTTTTGAAAAGTTTCAAGTAACATTCGATGAATTAAAGTAATTTTAATAAAAAGTATAGAGTAGAGCAGGGCAAGGCACGAAGATCCAATTTGACTTTGTGCAAATATTAATTATTTCATAAAAATCAAACCAATTATATCACAACAAATAACACATTTCAAACAAACAATCACCTGACTATGTTCAGTAAAACTGCCAGCTACTTCATTATTGTCGAAAGGTCCTTTTTGACTGTCTTTCAAAAATTTGTAATTATACCCTATAGGTAGGGTAACTCGAAACGGGCAGGTGGCAAACAGGTTTAATGTCTTATTTTAATTTTAAATGTATTTTACAGAATAATTACATTCTTAACTAATGCTGAAAAACAATCAACGGAAGAAAATACTTTTATAATGAATTTTCCAAAAATTACTGTTTATTTCCCAATAGCAGAGTCATGAGAATCAAGGTTATAGCTGGCTATATATCTGTTTCCCTCTACTTTCAAATATTGTTGTTAAACAATGCTTAACTATACTGGTTTTTGACACATCGGTGGCGGACCTGTTTAACCCCAGACCTTCATATATTACTATCTATTCTTCGTTAAATTCTGGGAAATTATAACTGGGAAAATGTTATTCGGCAAAATGTTCCTTTGATCGATACCAAAATTAGGTTCTGAATTTAAATAACATAACCTAGAAAATGTTTTATAAATACCAATGAGTGTATAATTATACAAATGAGATCTTTCAGAGCACCGTGTTTGATAAAAATATGATTTGCAAGAAAAGAGTGCTACAACGCCAAAAAGTGCATTTTCATATTAACATTTCAAAAAAGTTGATATTTTGAGTTTTTAGTAACACTTGCGGCCCGTTTACTAACGTTTTTGTATATAAATAAAACTACAAACAAAACTACTTACTACAATTTAATTATTATAATTAGATAATACTCACGTAAAACATCCTATTAAACGTAATTGAACAACATCTGTCAAAAACGTTTGACATTTGACGTATCAGTCACCGCCTATTGTTTTATTTAAATTACGCTTCTACACAAATTTTCAAGTTAAAAATATAAAGTTTCTACGCGATTTTAAAATAATATCTCACCTTTCCGACAACCTACTGATTAGCACGAATTTTTCAAGACTAAGACTGGCCAAATCGGTTTAACCGTTTTTGAGTTTTAGCGGAGCATTTTATCGAAAGCTTCGTTTTTATATATAAGATTAGATAACACATGCTTATAACAATTGAATGATTTTTAACATAAACATAACAATACGGTGTCCTTTGAATACTGAGAAATGAGTGCTTCACGTGTTTGTTTATAATCTCATAAGTTGATAAAGTTTAAATTATTATAAATATATAGCTCGCCAAATATTGTAATTTTTTTATATTTTCTTCTCCAGACACAGACGGCGATTCCTACACAAACGAAGACATCAGCGTCTCGGCCGCAGTGGTGGCCAAAGTGCTCGAAGACGGCATCAGAGACACGAAGCACCACTGCGAAACCTGCCGTTGTGCCACAAAAGACTTGAATTTACTCATCGAACCCTTATCACAATTTTCGATATCGACCCAAACCTACGCCCCATTTCCCGAACAAAACATCTGCGTCCGATGTTGCAGCCACGTCATCTCCAAAACCGACATCCAGAACATCAAAAACGCCACCAACGATATCAGTAAAATGCTTAAATCAAATGTCAGTAAACTCCACGAAGATTTGATAAGTTTCGATAATCCTGTGGGATTGGTTGGCCATCATCGACTCTGTGATAAATTGAATAAGGATGATTATAAAATTGATGTTCTGGACAGGAGAGACAGGAATGGTGGTGCTGATTTGCTGGATGTTGATGGTGGTGCCAAGAGTAATGGTGGTGATCGTAAAAAAAGTTTTGGAGGTTCCACTGGCAAGACGAGCCAGTGCTCGTCGAAGATATTCGAGAATTTTAATAGGAATCTTATACAGTCGATTAAGGTAGAGTAAATATATCATAATTAGAGCGGTCTTTAATATGGACATTTGTGAATTTTTTAGTTCCCAAGGGCTCAAATGCTTCCAAATTGATTAAAAATAATTCTCTGAAAGTTTTAGCTTTTAATATTGTCTTTTAGTTAGAGCGCAATTCAATCAAAGTTTTGTATGAAAGAAACATGAGAAAATTTTTCCAAAATTTTTAGAATGTTCTTCATATATAACTTAGCGAGCAAATGACAATATTAAGATGACAAAAGAAATTACAAAAAACCCGTTTTGCAGAACGTCGAATTTTCAATAAAAGATGACACGAATTGTCACTAAGTCATTCATTTGTCGCTAAGTTATACCAAAAAACAATTTTAAAATTTTCAAAATTTTTTCCATGATATTTTCATACGAAGCTTTGATTGAATTGCGCACTATCTAAAAGTTAATTTTAAGACCAGAAATTTTCAGAAAATTTTCTATTATCAATTTGGAAGAATTTGAGCTCCTGGGAGCAAAGAAATTTGAAAATATCCATATTAAGGACCACTCTAATATAATTTAGATTGGCATCTATTTTTATTTTATTTGTGTTATTTATTTTATCGTTATATAATTTTTGATCTGTTCAATATGTTTGTCTAATAAATTTTGTTTAGTTGTTGCATTGTTTTATTTTTTAGTATTCAGGGTGTCCCAGAACTCAACGTCAAGTCAAAAGTAGTGATGAAAAAGTTTAGAATATTATTGCAAGTTGTTTGGAAATTATGAGCTTTTAAGTGCAACCTAGAGTTTTGGTGAAACTGAAACTATTTTCCGGTTATTTTAGTAAATTTTTATTATTTTGGTTTACTTAAATTTTGGAACCATAACCGTGAATAACATTTCTAAGACTAAAGTCTAAAATATTGACAAATTCTCCTATTGACAAAAAGTTATAGAGAATTAGGACTTTTTATTGAACTATGTATTTAAAATCTTCAAACCTGTTTGCATTTGAAATGCAGTTTTTTTAAGAAACTGTACTAAAATGTATTAGAAAGTTCCATCAAAAGTTTGTGCATTTAATTAGGATTGTAAAATGGTAAAAAATAATATTTTAGTGATAAAAAACATAAGCAAAAAGCCTTTAGCCGTTATTGTGTTATTGTTAGGCTTTTATTCTGTTACTCAATTTTTTTCATAAAACATAAGCATTTTCCAATTTTACAATCCTGACTAAATGTGCCAACTTTAGATGAAATTTTCCAGGACACTTTAGTACATTTTTTTCAAGGAGAGCCTCTCAAAATCGGCATATTTTGAATATTTGGATTCTTAGTTCCACAAAAAGTCTAAATTTTTTAAAACCTGGGGTAATTACTTTATTATTTTGACCTAAGGTCTTAGAAATGTTATTAACGACTACAGATCCAAATCTTAAATAAACAAAATTTGAAAAAAATAACCACAATAACCAAAAAATGCTCATGATTTCACCAAAGGTCTAGGTTGCTCTTACAAGTTTAAATTCTAACTACGTGAAATAAATTATTTCCCAATTTTTTTGACGTTGAGTTCTGGGACACCCTGTATATTGAATAACTCGTTTATATAATATAATTTAACTTAGTTTTTCAAGAAATTTGTCGTGATTTTCTTATTATTTTATATTATTAGTTGCACTTACCCTAGATAAGGAAAGCACAACTTCACCAAAGCTCTCTGGGTTCTCTCTTGGGAGCTCTCTTAATTTTAATTATTGCCTATTTTTTTTCTTATGAAAGCTTTAATTTGACGTTGAGTTCTAGGACATATACATTGAATAACTCATTTATATAAAATAATTTAATAATTTAGAAATTCGTCGTGATTTTTAAATCTTTTATATCTTTAGTTGCACTTGTTTTAGTTAATAAAGGCACAACTTTACCAAAGCCTTTGGTTGCACTTAAAAGCTCTCTTAATTTTAATTATTTTCTAAATTTATTTTTTCACGATAGTTTCAACTTGACGTTGAGTTCTGGGATACCCAGAACTGTATAACTGAATAACTCATTTATATAACAACCAGTATACTGAATAACTCATTTATATAACATAATTTAATTCTTAAAATTTCTCGTGAATTTTTCAATTTTTTATATTTTCAGTTGCACTCATTTTAGATAATAAAGGCACAACTTCACCAAAGCTTTCGGTTGCTTAGAAGCTCTTAATTGTAATTATTTCCTATTTTTTATGATAGCTTTAACTCGACGTTGAGTTCTGGGACACTCTGTATATTGAATAACTCATTTATATAATTTAATTTAGTTTTTTAGCGATTTATTGTGATTTCTTCAATATTTCACCAAACAACTTTACCAAAGCTCTGGGTTGCAATTAAAAGCTCTTAATTTTAATTGTTTTTCAATTTTTTTTGTGATAGCTTTAACTTGACGTTGAGTTCTGGGACACCCTGTATATTGAATAATTTCTCTTTTAGTTCCACTTATTTTAAATAACAAAGGCCTAACTTTACCAAAGCCTTTGGTTGCACTCTTGAATTTAATTATTTCCTAATTTTATTTCATGATAGCTTTAACTTGACGTTGAGTTCTGGGACACCCTGTATATTGAATAACTCACTTATATAATTTAATTTAGTTTTCATAAATCCTAGTTAAGTTTTTAATTTTAGCTTTGGGCTGCACTTAAAATCTCTTAATTTTAATTATTTCCTATTTTTGTTTATAACTTTAACCCGATGTTGAGTTCTGGGACACCCTTAATATAACTCATATATATAATGTAATTTAGTTTTTCTAGCGATTTTATGTGATTATCTTCAATATTTTACCAAACAACTTTACCAACTTTTATTTTAATTATTTTGTAATTTATTTTTTTACGGTAGCTTTAACTCGTCTTTAACTAACGTTGAGTTCTGGGATACCCTGTCTATTGAATAACTCATTTATGCTCACTTATAATTTGAATAATTCACTTATATATTTAAATTTAGTTTTTTTATCGATTTTTAACGATTTCTTCAATATTTTATCAAACAACTTCACCAAAGCTCTGGGTTGCAATTAGAAGCTCTTAATTCTAATTATTTCCTGAATTTATTTTCGTGATAGCTTCCACTTGACGTTGAGTTCTGGGACACCCAGCATATTGAATAACTTATTTATATAATATGAATTAGTTTTTAGAAATTTGACGTGATTTTTCAATATTTTATATTTTTAGTTGCACTTACATAACAAAGGCACAACTTTGTGAAAGCTCTGGGTTGCGCCCTTAAATTAAATCAGTTAAAGCCCGTCATTTTAATTGTTTTTTGTGATAGTTTTAACTTGACGTTGAGTTCTGGGAAACCCATTTGTTGCACTTATTTTACATACTAAAGGCACAAATTGGTTGCTAAAATGCTGAAAAAATTCGGTCTATCTATCAATTGGAGTTTTTATGTTTGGATTTGTCTAATTTGGATAAAAAATCCAGTGAAACTATTAGCGCATGGCTTTGTGTTTTGTTGCTGGAACTTCCCTTACCATATTTGAATATTTGTGTATCGTATCCTAAGTTTGTTTAGTGTAGTTAGTAGTTAGTAGTAGTCTCCAGTTACTTGTACAAATTTTAATTTAGAAGAAGTTACAAGGCATGCTCACAATGATATATATCTTTCACCATGCCATCTATGATTCCAGTCTGAAAACCCGAAAGCCGGTCCAAGACTATGCTCTCTCCGAATCCAAGACGGAAGTCCCAACGTCATTTTGAACAAATCCGAAAACAACATGGCACCAGTCTTATACACCAGAAGAAAACTGGATTTAGAAAACGAAGTCATATCTTCCAGTAAACATCAAAATCCCTCAAACACCAAACTCACCCTCCGAGATTTGATGGAAATTAACCGAAAACTGTTGGCAGTTGGTCAAAATCAGGAGCAGGAGGATAAGGTGAGGTTGTTTAGGAACAAATTGGATGATGATAAATTAGGTGATCAGCAAGAAGGTGTTAGACAAGATCCTTGTGGTGAGAGTAGTGCTGGTAAAAATGATAAGAGAACGTTGGGTGATTATAGTGGTGAAGGTTATACAGTGATGTATGGTGTACCAGGATAGCAACTACAATAAATCTGACCAGGACACTGGTAAAACTTTTGGTCACTACGATCCAAACAAGTACGATGATAATTTAGGGCAAAACAACTGGGCTATCAGTGAACAGCTATTTACAACACCACAAACCGCGACTCAGGAATCAACTTATCAGACGACGTCGACACAAATCACGCTGAAGAATCCATCAACCATCCAGAAAACTTCAACAACAACCAACTGGACAAACTAAACTCCAGCACCGGTGACAACACAAGCCAATCCCTAGAATCCAGTTCCATGTCAAGTGCAGAAATTCGAGAAAGTGCCCAACTTTTACGCCAACAACTACACAGAGTCGCAGAATGGGTCAACGCCAATGCCAATATGGATAATGCAAATTGCACAGACAGTGATAGTGGTTCCCATAAAAATAGATCTAAAGCCAGTTATAAATCCCACAGAATGTCCCTGGATAGTGTGGATTTGTACAGGAACCTGGACTATAACCAGAGAATTAGGTTGCATCAAGCCAACGACGATAAAGATGGTACCAGAAACAAGGTGCCGGAGCAAGAAAACGTTTGCAATGGTAATATTAGTGAGGAGAAAGAAATGACTGATTTAGAGCAGATGGAGTATAATGTGAAGCAGTTTTTGTTGAGGCAGAATGAGTGGTCGGTTTGTAATAGTCATATGTAATTTAGATAAAGGATAAACGTTTTATTTATTATTTTACTAAGGAGCGAGCAAGATGATTTTAAAGTTTGTGCATACGCTATTTTGTACAGTTATTAATTGTATGTGATCTTTTATATAGAACTTTGTCCATTGTATACATTTCTGTAAACATGTGCACTCCTTTCTGGAAAGTTGCACTCGCTTTATAAAGTTGCACCTCTTTTCTAGAAAGTTTTCTCCCTTTCTGAAAATACGCACTGTTCTGTGAAAGTTATACTTTTTGTGGAAAGTTGAACTTTTTGTGAAAGGTGCTCTATTTCTGGATAGTTGCACTTTCTTCTGAAAGTTGCACTCTCTTTTGGAAAGTTGAACTCCCTTCTGGAAAGTTGCACTCACTTCTGAAAAGTTGCGCTTTTTCTTGGAAAGCCACACCCTTTCTGAAAAAATTGCACTTATTTCTGGGAAGTTGCGCTCCTTTCTGGAAAGTTGCATTCCTTTCTGGAAAGTTGCATTTCCTTCTGGAAAGTTGCACTCCTTATATACATTTTTGCAAACTTGTACACGTTGCTAGTTTGTGGAAAGTCCTTTCTCCTTGTATACATTTCTGCAAATTTATACACGTTGCTAGAAAGTTGCACCCCTTTCTGAAAAGTTGCACTCCTTTCTGGAAAGTCGTACCCTTTTCTAATTTTTCTGGAAAGTCGTACCCCTTTCTGGAAAGTTGCACTCTTTTCTAGAAAGTTGCATCATTTTCTGGAAAATTGCACCCCTTTCTGAAAAGTTGCACTTGTTTCTCGAAAGTTGCACACCTTCCTGAAAGTTGCACTCTTTTCTAGAAAGTTGTATTTCCTTCTGGAAAGTAGCATTCTCTTTTGGACAGTTGCACTCCCTTCTGGAAAGTTGCATTCCTTTTTGGAAAGTTGCACTCCTTTCTGGAAACTTGTACTCTTTTTGTGGAAAGTTGCATTCCTTTCCAAAAAGTTGCACTATTTTATAGAAAGTTGTATTTTTTCTGGAAATTTGCACTCCTTTCTGGAAAGTTGCATTCTTTTGTGGGAAAGTTGCATTCTCCTCTGGAAAGTTGCCCTTATTTCCGAATAGTTGCACTCCTTTCTGAAAAGTATCACTCATTTTTAAAATTTGCTCTCCTTTCTGGAAATTTGGGATCCTTTCTAGAAAGATGCTTTTCTTTCTCGAAAGTTGCACTATCTGGTGAATTCTAGACTTATCTTATGAATTCTTGACTTATCTGGTGAATTCTTGACTTATCTGGTGAATTCTAGACTTATCTGGTGAATTCTAGACTATCTGGGAATTGTAGATTATCTGGTGAATTCTAGACTTATCTTATGAATTCTTGACTTATCTTATGAATTCTTGACTTATCTGGCGAATTCTAGACTCATCTGGTGGAATTCTAGACTTATCTAGTGAATTCTAGACTTATCCGGCGAATTCTAGACTTATCTGGTGAATTCTAGACTTAGCTGGTGAATTCTAGACTTTTCTGGTTTATTCTAGACTTATCTGGTGAATTCTAGACTTATCTGGTGAATTCTAGACTTATCTTATGAATTGTAGGCTTATCTGGTGAATTCTAGACTTATCTGGTTTATTCTAGACTTGGCTGGCAAATTGTAGACTTATCTGTTGCAGACTTCGCTGAGAAATTTCAGTATTATCTAGCACTTTTAACAATATCTGGCAAACTATAGTCTAGTTGCACATACTTGGCAAAAATTTTATCATTTTCTGTGCATCTGGTAGATTCTATATTTTGTTATCCATTTGTGCATTTTGCAATTTATACTTACCAGAAAAAACCTGCTTGCTCCTAAATTTAGTCACACTTAAAAAATTAGACTATTAAAATTACTCATCCGTATTTATATTTTTTACTTAACAAATTATATTTACCATCACCAATCTTCTAATTGTGATCATTATTGTCACTCTAAATATTAAGTTCATCATTAGTTAATATTTATTTATGTATTTAATTAAATTTAAAGACTAGAAAACTAGAAATTCTAGGTGTTCAAGAAATCCGACAAATGTTTCTTC